AGAGAGAGAGAGAGAGAGATTGGGGTTGTTGAGTTTTTGTTGAAGTTTTGGTGGGAAATGGTAGTCAAATGAGTGAATTTGAAGTCGCTTAAGCTGGGTTTTGGATCATCTTTTGTTGTATCTGAGTATTCTGCATGGCCAAGTTATATATTAAAAAAATAAAACTCTTGGTGAGATCGAAGTGCTTGTTGAAATAGAGAGGGCTTCAAATATCATTTTTTGTGATTTTTCCCTTCTTCGAAAATAATGTGAGTTTTGTTAGAAATCCAGCTAAAGAACGGTTGAACGGAGTGATGGTTATGAGATTTGATTGGGTGCATTAAGCTTTTTATATTATTGTAAAGAACAACTGTTTTTTATGAACAACATCCTATCCAAATGAAGAGCAAAGAAGCAGATTGAGGTTCTTGTGGGTTTTCTTTAATCAACAAAACCTAACTAAATTGATAAAAATTTCTGTTGTTTTTCTTTAGATTTTTTGATATAATGGGCGTCTTAGGTCTTTAGGGATATAATACTGCTGTAAAGGCCCCAAGCAATGGGGCCTTTATGGACCTACTAGGGCCATAAGCAATGGGCCTTCATGGAACTAATAGGGCTGTAAAGGCCCTAAGCCTCATGGACCTAACTTAGGTGTGAGGCCTCAACTTTAGACCTTCACGGAACTGGTAGGTCTGTAAAGGCTTTACAGATCTATTAGGTCTGTGAAGGTTATTTTGGGGATCAGAAGAAAGCATGAAAAAATGATTATGGGTAGGAATTTTAAGAAAAAAGGGTAAGTTTCAAATTTAGTGAAAATTTAAGGGATATTATTGATAATTTCCCTAGATTTTTTAATACAAATCTAAACATAAATTCATGATTTTTTATTAAATTCTTACTATTATAGTTTGTATACTTTTTTAAATATAGGGACCCTGATACTATTTTTCCGGCAATGAATTGTATCGGAAATGCATTCAGTTGCAGAACCGCTAAAATAAGTTTGCAAGACTTGAGCAAACAATGAATCTAGTTTCGAATTGAACAGTTGTAGTTAACAGAGGTTGTGGCTTCAGAAAGAACTGAGAACGTTTATGGTTGAGCACCGCGGGTGATGGGGTGGTGTCTGTGAGTTATAGTTGTTTCTTCTTTTATTAATTGCAACTCAACCTGATTTACAATTTGTTCTGCATCATGGATAAGAAGAATGGATTGGAAATCATGGTATAGGTCAGTGTTTGAAAGGTCATTTTCAATTTGAAAAAAGCTCGCCAAGGCAACTTGATTAAATAAAGAACTCAAGGTATCCCTGCCTTAATTCTTACTTAGATATTTTTGTGGTGTTTCATCACTAAAATACAAAATTCAAACAAGTAGAAATACTTCTCTGACTCGGTGAAGTGTGGTGTTCAAACCCCATCATACGTAACTTTATTTTTGTATGCCTCTTCACAAAAACAGAATTTGAAAACTTGCCAAATTTTATTGGAGTTGACCATTCAACTTGGCTAGAGCATGCAAGTGTATAATTATGGGCACTGTGATCAAAGATCTAGATTTGGTCATCAGTCTCTATGAGATCTTGCTTCTTGATCTTGCAGTGTATCACATATGGGGTTGTGAACTCAAAAATGGTATTTCTTGCTTCCTCCTCAAGATTGTATTGAAAGTTTGCTGAAACCATTGATTTTGTAGCACTTTTTAATAACCTGTTCCATTCTTAATTACAATATCTTATCACTTGGTTTTTATTATATGACTCACTTACGAAAGAAGAACCAATGTCATGGAAGAGGAATGCTTGATGAAGAGTGAGATCTACATACTTTGGTGATCATGTGTGCTGAGAATGTGATCATGGTGTAAAGCCATTCTTTTCATGCTTGCTTGAACCCTATGTATGTTGTGTGTTGTATGAAAGCTTTGTCTGAAAATTGCTCACCCTCAAAAACTTCTGGTAGGTTCATTTTTACTTTTATCCCCGGGACCACAATTATGCATAGAAGATAATAGTCTAAACTCTAAAAGAGTGTCAGTATTCAGTATCCCTGTATCAACTGTTGTGCCACAATCCTTTTGAATATATTAATCTACCTTGTAATATTCATCTACCTTGTAAATTACGTTGTAGACCTATCTGAATTAGATTTCATTAGTTGATTTTTTCCACAATGCATGCTTGTTGTACCGTTGTCTAATTCTATTTGAGGGGCAAAAATTATTCCACAAAATTTTTAATTTCTATTATATTAATATGATCTCCGTAGTATGCATGGGATGATCCAAGTAACACAAGAGAATGATGCAAGTATCCAAATTTAGAAAACACCCAAGAGGACAAATTAATAGTAAGCTACAAGCTGACACACAACTATGGGCATTGAATGTACTTGCATATACCAAGAAAACTTCATGCATTATAGTTCTTTAATTCTTTCATCCTGCGAAAATAAGTGGAAGTCTTCAAGACAGCCAATGCATATTCTCCCTTTAATGCTGTGAGGATTGATCCTTCTCACCAATGACCTAAGCCTACGAGTGATGAATACAGTGTCATGCTTGTTACCATTTTGGCTGAGTAGTAAAGGGCGATAGTGATGATGGAGAGAATCGAGTGCAGTTGAATTACTCAGAAACATCACATTTCTCTCTCTCTCTCTCACCCACATGCCCCAACCCCCCCCCCCCCGATACCCTGACTAAATAGATAAGTTGTATTTGGCTTGTAATTATTTAATTATATAAAATATTTTGAGAAGATGGTATTCCCAATACATCTTTGAATTTGGTGGTAGCATCACAGAATGGGTATCATATACCATGGAGGCCTCAATGGTCGATATGGCTCATTTATCTGTACAAAGTCATTCTGCAGTTCTCGTGTCTGCAACTTTCCTATCTCTTTATCTTTGTAGTTGTTATTTTATTTTAATGGGCTATGATGATGATTTCGTTATAAATTTAAGATATTGGAGACATGCGGCGTTAGCCATCATTCTTTCTGCCAATTGAAGCATCTTTCAACAAATATAATAAATGTAAATGCATCTCTCAACAAGATGGACGTATAGTAGTCTACTGCCTCAGACTTTGCTTGACTTTTCAGTCCATAATATAAGCTCACACTAAATGTGGGATTCTGACATTGGCTTCTGTTTTGAGCTATAGTTTTAAGGATCCAGCCTATAATGGTGGAGGACACATTACAATTGAAGGAAATCTTGAAAAGAATAATACTTTCTTGACAAGGCTCTTCCATGGTGAGCTCACTTTATCGGATCTACCCATACATGTTTCGTATCACGTAAGAATAATCCCTCTAACCACATTATCTCAAATCCTTGTGATTTGCAATGTACATATTTCTTGTGTTTATTTCTTGAAAGCAACCTATGATGCTTTTCATCTTGACTTCAAGAGTAATTTATCCTTGACATTTAAAATCTAAAAAAAAAAGGTAAAGCATACCATAATCCAAGGGAGTATGGTATATAGTACTCCAAAGGGGCATCCATTGTCTGTTCCTAATGACGGAAACATACAATGGAGGTTGAGTGGTTTACTGTAGACGAGCTCACCGGGATATTCATTTTGGTAAAGTTAAATTCCAGTTTTCCACGCTGTCATCGGACAGTTATGGTAAATTGCTAAGTATTCTCTTGGTTGATTGGTTCTCTCTTTGATATGCAGGTTAAAACAAATGGCACATCAACTTTGTCTATGGCCCTCCAATTTTCTTCAACTTTAAAAGGAAGAACCACATTTCTTCTTACACCGGTTGGAACAAGCATTCCAAATGAGAATTCTATCGGAGAGGACTTTCTAGGGTTTCCACCTGGATTCGGCAAAATCAAGAAATTACCAATCACAAAAACCCGAGTTCGAGTCACTGACTGGACTTTGTATGAATCAACATTTAACATGGATGGTTACTTGCTAACTGATATCCATGCTGTCTGCCACAATGGAAACCCTGATGACGATTGGATCATCAAGGATCCAAACCCCAGTCTCAGCAACGAAATATCAGAGCCTAATTTAGAATTACCAAGTTATTCTGCATCCCTTGGTCGACTTTCCATAAAGACAACTGAACAAAAACCTGGGTTTCCCCCTTCTAGTGCTTGGTTATTCGAGAGTGAGGATATTTCTTGGACCAAGACACCTGACGGGATTAAGACTCTTAGTGTTAAGCTCATTTGGAGACTCAAAGAAAGGTCGGATTTAGTGTTCTCGAGATACAATATCTATGCAGAGAAGTTAGTGAGAGGCATTGGAGAAGATCACATTGGAGTGGGTGTAGCTGGTGCTGAGGAATATCTTGGGTTTGCAAGAGTGGAGGCCTTTTATGTATCTGAAATGCCTGTTCCTCAAGGAATTGGTGCTCTCAAGTTCCTACTTCAAGTGACTGGAATGGATGGAGCTTGCCAAGAGGTGGCTGATGCACCATCACTTGTGTTGGAAGTTGCAGAATAGAGATAACATTGTGTTTTTTCAGGCTCTAAGCTTTTCTATGCTCATGACGTGTCTCTCCAAATTTGAAAATGGAGAGGGGACATTGTCAGTGGGACAATCATTTTCTGAATCATGGCATCAGCATGGCCAATTATTTGAATAAGATTTAGTTGTGTTTATCAAACAGTTTTATTTAAGGGAAATGTTTATATAAGGTTGCAACCTTAAATGTGGAACTACGGATGCATCTCAAAAATCCATCGGTCAAGGTTGTTTTAATGTTGAAAAACTCTTTAAATGATCATCTCGACATCGAGATGTATGACTATGAAAAAAAAAGGATTTTGAGTCTCTGAAATGGTGCATCTTACAACGTATTATCTAGATCGCCTGTTTTGAAAATTTTCATGTGTTTATGGATCTACTTGATTTTAATAATTTTTGGACCTTAAAATTTTATAATTAGATTCGAAAATAGATTTTGAGATGATCTTAAGAATATCTTACATCAAAATTATATGTTAAAGATAAAATTTGAAAGTGCGCCTTAAATGGATTGTTTAAGGTTACAACCTTATGGAAACCACATCCTTTGTTAAAAGGTCTTAATGAGAAATAAAGCATTTGTGCTAGAGGTGACATTGTTGCTCTGTGTATGCTGCATCTGTGCCGGGCACGTTTTTACAAGCAGTTGAATGCTAAAAATAAAATTCATCGTTAAAAACTAAAAAATGTTTATACGGAGGCGAGGCTTTAAATAATGAAATTAGAGCCTACCTTAAAAATTTCACTAGAAGAGGTTTTGATGCCCAAATATTTTCAAATCGATCTTCTTGGCATCAAGATGCATGGGCATGAAAAAAAAAATAAATTTCAAGTTTTGGAAATAGTGCATCTTGTAACGTATTTTTGGAACGTCAATTTTCAAAATTTTCAAGTTTTCATAGATCTGTTTGATCTACACTATTTTTTAAGCTTTAAATTTTATAATTAAAGATGAAAATATATTTTAAGGCTATCACAAAGATTTTCAGCATTAAAACCATATTTCTTGACACTATTTTAAGGTGGGCTCTAATTTGATTGTTTAGAGCCTTGGTTCTAATACAAAACTGCACCCTATTTTCAAATCCCTTAGTTTTAAATTGAGATAGAACATTTTTATTTCTTACATATAAAAATTATAAAAATTTGGAACATGTTATAGTATACACAAATATTTTATTTTCTTAAAACTAGCGTATATATTTCAGAGAAATTCGCCAAACTATGCACTATTTAACATTGGGTGCAGTTTGTATAGAGTCTAGGCTCTAAACAATCAAATTATACTCTACCTTCAAATAGCGTCGAGAGATGTTGGTTCAATATTGGAAATCTTTATGAAGCCTTAAAATATATTTTCATCATTATTTATAAAATTTAAAGCTTAAAAAATAGTGTAGATCAACAAATCTAGGAAAATCTTGAAAATTGATGGTCCAAAAATTCGTTACAAAATACACTATTTCCAATGCTTGAAATCCATTTTTTTTTCTAATGTCCATTCATCTTTTGTAACACTATTTCCAATACTTGAAATCCATTTTTTTTTCTAATGTTCATTCATCTTGATGTCGAGATGATCACCTGAAAGATATTTAGGCATCAAAACAACCTATTCTAGTGAAATTTTTGAGGTAGGCTCTAATTTGATTGTTTAGAGCCTCGGCTCTATATAAACTTTTCCCTACATTTCACCTATCCTTCTTGTTCTACTTCCAAAAGGCCCAACAAAGAACATATCAAGTACTCATTAAAGGGTGGCAGTTTGATAGAGAGGAAATTCCCCTCCATCAAAGCCAAAGCTGTTTTAAGGAAACCACCTATGTGAAATGTCGGTATTTCCGGATATCTCACTCTATGCACACTATGCGATATTAGGTAAATATTAATATCTCTTGGGTAACTTAGTGACATAGAGATATTGGTGTTCATAAATACTAATATCTTATAGGTGAGATTATGGTATTCAAAAGATTACCAATACCTCACATCATGCTTAAAGTAAGACATTGGCATTTGGAAACACCAATGTATATATATAGAAACTTAACTGGTTAGAATATCAATGTCACATCGTGACTTAGTGAGATATTGTTGATACAAAAGACCAAAATCATGGCAATTTAGTTAGATATTAGTGTTTGAGAAAAGCAATACTTTAGAAGGTCTTTAAAATGAGATTGCATACCATTTATTTTTGTTACAGGAAGGTTATAACTACTCCTGACCATTAGATATCAAATTGGATGGCTTGAGGGGTGTCACAAAGCTCAATAAAATTAAATTTGAACTTTGAGTCTAGTCAATGACACAATCATAACCAACTTATTTGAAATCTGATGGATAATAATAATTGTGACCTCTTTATAATAAAAGTAAATAGTCTTTTTGTATACATGTTATTTAAAATGTAATATTGGTATTAAAAATACTAATATCTTCATTTTGACGGAAGGGAATGAAATCTTCCCCTCCATCGCTTTGCAATTATTTATTGACTCGTTGTGGCATTGTCTTAAGAGACGAAAAGAAAGAATGGGTGCAATGGTTAAAACCATGTGACTTGAGAGTAGTTTGATAATTTTTCTAAATTTAATGGAGACCAAATCCCTTTTTCTATTGGGATATGACTTAAATCCTTTTATTTGAATAAATCTTTTTTCATTACGAGTGCGCGCAAATTTCTGCAAGGGATAATATCAATAAAGATTGAATGACTTCTTATCTATGGGATTTTGAACCAAGAGAGAGATACCATGGTTTATTGTCCTATGCAACCCAGCATCCACGGTAAAAATGCCAAAAATGAGATCTTAAACTACTTTATTTTAGCATATGGTATACTCTTAAGGGAGCATAGTGTAGACCTACTCCCTCAATCAAAAGACCTACTTAGGAGGATTTTTTTCAACCTTAAATTTTGGTAACCACCTAAGAAAAGCTAGATTATTAGTCTAAAAAGGGAGAGTTTGAAATTTGAGTTTTTTTTTAACACTTAGATATCACTCTATAAAAATTGGACGGTCGCTATTCAATCTTGAGATATTAGTTTTGTTTTCAAGTGCATTAAAGATGCAATTAGAAATTTAGAATAATCTATGGGTTGAAGAGGTTGCATCCCTAAAATTTGGGGTTCTAAAATTAATCCTAGCTATAGTTTTTATCTGAGGGAGTAAATAGACAGTATACTCTTGCATGAGTGTAATATCTTCTGGATTGAAAATTAAAGAGGCCCAAAAACAATTAGGAAGGTATCGTAGTCATATTTGCGAGGAAACATTATTTATTAGGAGGTGTACTACTTTATTAATATGAAATATTTTTCAAACAATGAAATTTCTTGATTACAACTTTAGATATCAGAAAGGTGTTATGTTGCTCATTTTCAAATCCGTTGTTTTGTAATGGAATAAATTATTTTTGGGAAATTTATCTAAATATACCTAAGTATTTAACATAGTAAACTCATGATCATGTGTATTTTGATGGCCTTTGTGAAATTAAATCAAAATAAATAGGTAAAATATTAAATAGTTCATCTCTTAGATGCATTTTTTAAATTTTTATTATTAAAAAATCCATGGATTAGAATCAAATCAAACAACATTGGAGTAGTGATAATGACTTTACAAAGAACAATAATTATTATGTTGAGAAAGAACAATCTTCAAAAAAAGCTTTAGATACAGTAATGGCAAAGATTTTAGGGAGTAGGCACTTACTAGAAAAGATTAGAGTTTCTGTTCATTAACCTGGTGTGCCTCAATCTTCAATAAAATCAAATGGCTCAAATCATGTAATTTTTTTTTAGAATAGAGAGACAAAACTGACATTTTTGACTCTTCAAGGTCTAAATGGCTCGTAAGACTCATTTCTCCATACCAATTGAAACTCGAGGTCATATGGATAATTTTTTGGAGATATGTACAATGAGACTAATTATTTTTTATATAATGAGGTTACAATCATCATTGACCTTTAGACTTAAAATCAAGTGGTTGAGGATGTGCCATTGTTTGGACACAAATTTCAAAATAAAATTTGTCGAATATTGTTGCACACTTTCATCTATTGGATTTCACCCAATGGCTAGAAGTGATTGTAACCTCTTTGTACCAAAAATAAATGGTCTCATAACATACAATCCGTAATTTTCTCTAGTTCTACATCTCTTAATCCCCTCTCTAAACATTGGCTCCCTACTACTTTTGGTATCTCCCTTGATATATATAGGACAATATTATTACGATTCTTAAAAATCCCACTTATTTTACTGCAACCCCTCAACTTTTATTCCTATCAAACAACATTAAGAAGTTCACAATTTTCACCTTTGCTGGTCCCATTGGACTGGCCACGGCTAATAAAGCTGAAACCATAGCACTTTATCATGGCCTTAGACTTTTCAAAAGCAAAAACCTGCGAGTGTCTTACATTGTGAAAGGAGATTCTTTAAATGTTATCAAATGGTGCAATAAGTAATATAAAGTATTATGGGAATTAAGATCCGTGTGACTTCAAATTCTAGATTTATAATAGATTTTGAGGATCTCTTTTCATAATGTTTATAGGGAAGCCAATGATGTGGCGGATATTCTTGCTAAAAATGGTGCTTCTTTACCTTCTATAGTGGTACCTGATAATGTAACTCTTTCCTTGTAATGCCATGTCATCAATAAAGTTATTAACATTTGTCAAAAAAAAAAAACATTAAGAAGTTCACAAGTATTTCATTCAACCTCCTCAAAATGTCAATATTGCCCTTTTATTTTAATCCTTATTAAATGTCCAAAACAAATTCTCAAAATAATACTCACATCCTTTGCTTGATGACATAGGAGAAAAATGTAATTTTATAGGCTATGGAGAAAACATTAAGGGTTACAAATTGTGCAAACCCATAATGGAGAAGGTGTTTATGAGTAGAGATGTTGTGTTTAACGAAGATGGTATTTAGAATTAAAACATTAATTAAGAAAAGAAAAGTATGGCCATTGAGGACTTCAAGAAGGTGCCTTGAATTCCATTCGAAACTCATCATCTATTGACCCATGTACTTCTCTAGCAAGTGGCTCATCTCATAGGCCCAAAAAATAAAAGCCTCTTAAAAAATATATTAGGTTTCTTAAAACATATATTAGGTTACTTGTAAGTTTGATGTTGAAAATGATAATCTCACTTTGT